TTATCATCACCCGAAGTTTAAAAAACCGTTTAATGTGGATTATCGTTCGGACCTTCTAGATATCCCATCCGTAGATGCGTGACTCCATCTGTCATTCTCAGTAATTTTCAAAGCAATTCGGAAATTCAAGGACTACATTGAGCAAGTTCTCCTGAATGCTGATTTCGCAAACTGAAACGGTTAAGTGAAGCTGTAGACCCTTAAATTGTCAAAAATAGAGGATGAAAGGGATTTCGAGAAAGTTATAGAAACGACGCAAGCTACGGATAAGGACTGATCACATAACAGCTGCCTTCCCGTTCTGATCCGGTTTTCTATATTGCCATCCACACGCACGCATACAACCTAAAGTATGATCGCCAGCATTTAGCTGAATTCAGGTTCGGTGGCTGTTTTCAACCTTCCCCTAGTTCTTGATCATCCCCTCATTGAGGTAAATCCGAACAATGAGAACGAGCGGGTTAAGATCCAGGGTTTTTGTGTTCATGCAATGGTTTCTCCTCAGTACATCTAACCATCATTTACTAACTCACGGTATACGCACAACGTGGTTTGAAATTGCCCTGTTGAAATCATACGCAGACACGTGTTTCGAGTTCAATGGTGATGTAACTGATCCATAATTAATGGTAGTGGGCTATGTAACTATAAATCCCAACTGAACCGTTTCTATAAAAATGGATTGGTTTAGTTACCTCTATTCGCGCGTTACCCACTCAGACCATCAGTTCTGAGATCATGTTGTCATCAAGCTAGGACAAACCAGCTGGGGGAGACTCGTAGTATACAAAAAACGAGGTTTTCTAACAGCCTTGAAGAGGTGGAATACTGCATCATCAGTAAACACAACTCAATGCATATGGCCATAAAGCAAAATCTAACTACAAAAAACGTCACCGGGGTCTCTCTTTTAGACTACTCCCAAAATGTTGTGACTATCTGCCATTGTGTAGTTTATCCGGAACAGTACTTGTTCAGATAAACTGCCGAGCTAATTTTCTCACCGACTTCCGTGTGGACGATTGCACAGCCGATAAACCGAAAGTGAGATTCTGTGTGGCTTCCCCCTTTTTCTTAGTTCATTCAAAAGTAAACGGCAACTGGCTCTGTTTGTCACTCCATGCTTCATCTTTCTGTTTAAAGATTACTCCTCGTTATTGTCTAGACTACGCTAAACTTTTCCAACACAGATTTAAAAACCGTTTTAGTTCTTCAGATGGGGTATTAGCACTTACTGACTGAGTGATTAACGTTATTGCCATAGGTACTGTCAAAAGTGCTAGCAATCAGTGCTTGCCTGATGAATAAGTTATTCAGCGACAGTAGCTGGCACAGGCTCTCAAAAACCAATTTGAAATCGCATGTCATTACCACGTGTAATGCGTATTTCAAATAGATAGTCGGTTGCAACCAACAGCAAGGGAAGAGTCACCAAAACATTTCTGCAACAAAGGAAAATGTGCAAGAACATGAACTAAAAAGATTTGATATACCACGGAAATAACCTACACAACCAGACTTTAATTTAAAGCCCAAGGGAAGTATTACAGTGACCTCCTTTTGAAAATACTGTTCAAGTTCTTTCGTGACCTACGTAAGCAAACCAGTGTTACTGACCGTGGCTGGATTTAATGGACATCAACAGTGAGCGTGGTTAACGCTGCTCGGTGACTATCAGAATATGCATACCTCGTATGTCGAGGCGACGTGAACACAAGCATATACTTTGGTTGGGTATCCCTAACGGGGTATACAGTTAGTTATAGATTACAGTTATAGATTATATAGTTTGGATGTCCAGGTAAGTTCGTCAATTTGATTAGATTGCTACATTTGGGCATGAAGGCGAAGGTGAAATCGTGTGGGTCGATTTGTGATGATTTTGAAAATGTCACTGGCGTGAAGCAGGGTTCTGTCCTGGCTCCATCCCTATTTAGCTTATATTTGACCGCTATGTTAACAGTTGCTTTTCAGGACTCTGAGGTAAACGGCGTTGAGGTAGAGTACCGGGTGGATTGGCGCCTACTGAATATCCGACGTTTCGGCGTCCCAACCAGGTTACATACCTCAACGATGCACATGCCTCTGTTCGCAGATGGCAGACTATTACTGGTACATAGCAAAGACGAACTACGGTAACTGGCCGCGGCCTTCGCGACCGCGACATCCCAGTTT